GCCACAACACGCACAACCTTGAGGCGGATGGGCTACAACAGCAGAAGACCCCACCGGGTACCACTCATCTCCACTACAAATAGGAAAAGAGGCTACAATTTGCTCGAGCTCACCAAAATTGGACAGTTGGAAGCTGGAAAAATGTTGCCTGGTCTGATGAGTTAGTTTTGGTACAATTTGTCTGAAAATTTGATCAGGTTCAGATCTTCACCCTAACAAGATGTCTGGTTTAAAAAGGTTTAAAATGATCTGTTAAATACTTTTTGTTTAGTTATTGAACTAACAGGATTAAATGTCTGAAACTACCCTTTTTTGTTATTACTATGCGCCTTCAATTTTGGGGTGATTTGTCTGAAAATGTAATCAGTTCTAGTTCATCACCCATACAATGCAAAGATCCATAAAATGGTTTTTGAGTTATCATCTTAAAAAGTGGACCAGTGGCAGAACCATATGTATTCCCAGGAGTCTGGAGAATACATTTAATATTACAATTGATCAAAATTGAATTATTTAAAAAAAACACTATCAAAAATACATATTTTGACAATGTTTTTACATAAATGATTTGTTTAGACCAAAAAACATTCATAGAAAGACTGTCAGGATCCTGCCCTGCCGTTCCCCTGCCTGGCCAGCAGGTGTTGCTGGTCACCTCTTTCCTAATGTTTGAGTCTTTTGAGATTTGTGAATTGACCCATACCTGTCTTTTGTTGTTCCTAATCTTTAGTGTTTGTTCAACTGTAATTGGCCCACACCTGTCCCTCATCTTACCAGTGTCATCTGTGTATATATGTACCTGCCCTTGCCTTTGATCTTCAGTTGGTCATTGTGCTTGCTACTGTGTTATTGTGGTAGGTCCCTACTGTAGTTTTTTGCTTTCCATCTGCTTTGCTTTTGACCCCTTGTTGTTAATTTTGTTCCTTGTTTTTTTGAGTTACAATAAAGTCCCTTGATTGTTTGATCTGTTATGTGGATTGTCTCTTTGTCCTTCACCATGTAACAAATATATTAAAACAACAGTGAAACTGTCAATCTATAAAGTAGTGGGTGATTCAAATCAGTGCACATCAGGAGATCATGGGGAAACTGAATTTCTGAGAAGACCAGTCGTAACTTTAGCATCTAATAATTTGGGAAACATTGATCACATTTCTGTAAATGTTTTGCCATTACAATGTAATTGTTTGACAATCTGCTTTATTAGTCCCAGTTTGATGTGAAGTGGAGCAATCAGTATTTTATTTACAGACTCAAGTGCATCATCCTTCATATTGCGGATACCAGGGTGTATGTCTTCACTTGCTGGCCATTGTCACATAAGTTATATCTTATTTGCTTTATCTCTGCTGTCCCATAAACACAGGAGACAAGCAATCCAAGCAGAAACCCCAGCACCTTGATATCGCCACATCCATATCCTTGCCATAACAAAATATAAAAAAACATGTCAAATTAGTACAAAAACGTGCCTTTACTAGAACCAAGATTTCAAAATTACTGATAAGTTTTAAAATAAACATCCACACATCAACTTGATCCAGACCTTTGACCTAATAATTTACATTACATTGGTTCTCTTAGAACCAAACCTTCAAACCAAATTAAAACATGATTTGAGAACATCACCGCTAGGGAGTAGTTCCCGTTAGCAATTGTCAAAAATGTCCAACATACAATTATATTTGAATTTTCACTTTTTTTGTAGACAGATGGCTTTCTCATTCCCTGACACCCTGGTGATAGGGGTTCAAATCCTGCCACTGCCCTGTGTGTGGGGAGTTTGCATGATCTCTCTATGTTGTGTAGGTGTAGGTAAACATGTAGGAGGTGACTGTTTCCTAAAACTGTCTATAGTGTGTGTGCCTTGCAATGCACTGGCATCCCATTCAGAATGAACCCCAGCCTTGTGTCCAGTTACCTGGAGTACTATTTGACCCACATTTCAGTTATCACTGTGGTTGATGTTTTTTTGATTTCCTCTGGAAAATCATTTGTAAAGAACTTTGCACTTTTCAAGTACTATATTTAAAAAGTCCATATAGTCAAGTCTTTGTAAATTGTTGACCATTTCTGTTAGCATGCCACCTTCCTAGAAATCACTTTGATTTGATCTAACCAATGAAACTTTGCCTCCAAATAATTCATATTTTTGTGTTATTTCTGAATACACAAACTGAATATAAACTGATACAGCTGCACAAAAATCACATATGGAAACAATTATAGTCACGATTGGTCATGGAGACGGAGAGATAATCCACAAGGCAGTTTTCTGACATCAAGGGAACTTTATTTTAAAAAGGACACAAACAACATCTGAAACAAAAGGGCCACATGGGGTCAAAACAAAGGCGGGAAGACACAGCAATAATTGAACTGGACAGAAGAGAGTACTAAGGGAAACACAAGAACCACATCTACACATTCCAGGAGCATGTGGGAGAATAACGCATGCTGTAACACACACATTGACCAACACAGAAACAGGGCAAGGGTAGGTAAATATATACACCAGTGATGAGGAGTCAACAAGGGACAGGTGTGAATCATAGACCAGTTAACTAAAGACTGGACTCGGAATCACTAGGAACATTGGGGAGATAAGGGAGATAAACAGAAACATGATGGAAATGACAAAGACAGATTCTGACAATAACTTAAGCGTCATGAATTTAAAGAGATTTTGCATGCTAATGAAAAATAATCTTGCAACTATCCATTCTCCTGTCACTTGCTCTGAAAAATTACCTTCGTTCTTTAGTTTTGCATTTGTTTAATTTACTATAATTGTTGTTAAATTTACTATAAAGTGTATATGCACCATATTTACATGACATTGCATCTACAGAGTCTTGTGGTAGCTATATAGTTAAAATAGCTAAGAATCGGTGCTGTCAGAAAAGACACCATTATATTCCCCAGTAAGCCCTGTCACTTGCTCCAGCCATCTAATCTGTACCTGTTGCAAACTCACTGGCACCAATTCTAGTTTTATTGGCATTAATGGGTAAATGTTTTGTGCTAACACAAACTGTGGAGATCAAAGTCAAAGTCATGCTTGGGCTAAAAAATGATACAGTAAAAGGTGCTACGCTAATAGAAGAAATGGAGGGTAGAAGTGGATCTTAAAGACTGAGAAAGAATTGTGGAATATCAAAAGATGCCATCAGTGAAGTCTGTAACAAATTTGTCACTGAATTTGGCTTAGTAGTGTTTTTTGAGAACAGATTAGGGGTGAGTTTCCCGAAGCGTTCTTAACGCTACGGCGTTCTTAAGTTCTGTGTTAAAAGATAGAACTAACGAACGACGTAGCATTAAGAAGGCTTCGGGAAACTCACCCTTGTTCTTTAGAGAAAAAGCTATACACTCACCTAAAGGATTATTAGGAACACCATACTAATACAGTGTTTGACCCCCTTTCGCCTTCAGAACTGC